GACCAATCCCGTTAGTCGCCCCTCACGTCAAGGACTTTGGAATTGAAACATATACTGGAGTTATACACATCTAAGTATCATCTGCATATAGGAGCAGTTAGGGGAATTTATTCTATGTTATGTGACGGGGCTGGTACATCAAACGAGTCAGCCTCGAAATATACATTGCAATTACAGGCATCAATGCCCGAGTCGAAGTTGGTATCCGTACTTGACATCCTTTCAGCGTTGCAGTCACACTAAGAATGAAGGTTTTAGCCAAAAAATGTCAATAAAACATGCCAACGACGTCTTGAACCAATCAGCGAGCAGCTGACCTGCTGACGGGTCAATGTAGGCGTACCGTTGAGACATCTAATCCTTAATTATACTCATGGATTAGCATCGAACGAGTGTAGCCATCTACGGTGAATAACTCGGACAAGTTATCTTAGCTGTCCTTAAAAACAAATGTGAAATACTCTCAAACGATCCTCTCATCCGAGTGCCCCCCAAAAATAAATACCCGCACATAAGGGTTTGTCCCAGTATCTTATCGCCGGAAGATTAAGATAACTGTAGCACGCTTTCTAAATCTTAAACCGAGTACTAAGTAGATAATAATCCCACATAGGGGTCCACCCACAGTATCCTATCGCCGGAAGATTAAGAAAACTGCAGTACGCTTTCTAAACTTTAAACCGAGTACTACTCAGAAGAAAAGCAAGATTTATGGATGTCAACTTCTTTATTGTGAATAACACGACGTTTCGGAGTGTATGCTCGCTCCTTCATCAGGTGTACTACTGGGGTTATAATCCCACATCAGAGTCCATCCAAAAACCGAAACATGAGTCTCATTAACCTATTCAGACAATGACCTACTTTTCAGCCGATCCGAATTTTCTCGCGTGAAAGTGAAAATAGACATCACAAACAACTATGGTTACATTGAATTCCAATTCCTTGTTTCATAAGAAAATGGTATTTACAACTGAATTTTAATTTTGAACTTTAATAACATCGTATTTCTATATTTTATGGCGAGGTGTAGGCAGCATGACCTTAACTAAGACGTCTCAGACTGCCCCGGTTTGATGAGGTCGTAAAATGACTCACAATTCATCTGGCTCACTGGTTACACCTGTTATGTGTTCTTATGTGCGCTTATTCAAGTAGTTCTGTAACGCACAATGTGATTGATATAATATCAAGTCCGTACCAGACCGCCAAACTTTTCTAGCGGCAGAGCCTCGTTTTGAGATTTCCACGATTTCCAGGTTTCCGTTTGTCAGTGCCCACTGTACGACAGAGCATGCTGCACGACACGTTTGCATGGATTATAAGGAGCGATAAACATGTGCTTAGATGTATCAAATAATACTGATAAATATTTATGTATCCAGTTAAATAAATTGGTCTAAAAATTCTGGACTGGTTATTGTACTAAGTTGCGCAATAGGAGGGAACCCAGTCAACAGGAAACGAGACTCATGTGTAATCAATGTTTTGACTCGAGTAATCTCAGCGGATTAAGATACCCGCATATCTTTAAACAAAAGCCACTTAATTTTAAGCTCATTAATACTCACAATATGTTGACCATAGAAGTCATCCATATCAACGTACACACAAATTAATTCGCAAAGTGTTTTGCTAATGATCAACCACAATGCGTTAGCAACACATTACAAGGCCCTTGAAGACGCCAGTATATATCAGTGACGTAGTTCAATGAAGAATGTTAATGTATAAATAGTTTCAACCCAGTTCTCTGGACATTATACATTTGGACGAACTTTGCATTTACTCGGACAGTTCGCAAAAAAGCGCCCGTTTGGAAAAGCAGCTATCTGTTCGGACTTCATCCCAAGGTAATTGTGTTCTACGATTGTCTCGATGGGTATGTGTTCGTATTAACCAAACAACCAAGAACCAGATATGTTCAACACATGTTATTCCAATTTCAAGAATTTCAATAGCACCATTCATTATACAATCGTCATGCTAGTACGTCTCCATTTAGGATACAAACAGCACAGACAATAGAACCCACACGCAATGCTTGTGTAACATTGTGATCGTTTGTGTGAATGTCTATACATTTGATATGCATAAAAGTAGTTGAAATCTTCAAATCTTCGTAAATGTTAGCATTATCTAAGGAAACATTCGACGACACCAGTTCTTGGTATATAGTAGGCAAGCCATCAGATGTGTATAACATGGCTATGTTAATATAACGTTCCTGAAAGAATTTCAGTGACATTATCGCATTCTTCAAACTATACTGGAGTCGCCGTGTGTGTGTTAAGGGTTTCGAAAAGAATAACAGATTCAGGAAAAGCATGCTCAATATGTGGACCTCGCCTTTGAAATATCTCGCTTCAATCCCAAGTACACTGTCATCAGGCTCTAGGGCTGGATATTGCCCTGATTTTCATATTGCAATATACTGCAATAATTTAAGAGATATTGTAATACATATATATTGACTGGACGATTTCTGCCCAAGTGCGTATAACATAAATTCATAATAGCTCTCTGTGCGACATCATCTTCTCAGTTGCTGTTACACCATACTATCAGGCTCCCCGTCCCCAATGTGTATAGCTGTATGCCAGTGGTTTACAGATAAATAAAATGATATAGAGCCTTCATGTGGAATGTTTAATTGAAGTATTGCAACAAGATTGTGCGAGCATAATGATAAAGGTAATAGTATAACATGATTTTCATAGTGAGTGTTGTTTGCTTAAACAAAATGCACTTCAATGCTTTATGAAAATATTGTTACTGTGTGTCAATCCCAATATAAACATGTGTTAACATGGACTATTGCAAAATATAATACAAACACGCTTTTGTTGACACTACTTGAGATTACAGTCTCATGTGACTTCCAATAACTAAGATCCTTGACTGGAATGTCATTATGCAGTCCTACAATTATTTTAAGACTCGGGCCTTTATGATAAGTTGATATCATATGCCCCATTATGAAACAAGCAAAATACCAAAATACTGTGAACTGTGAAATGGTCACTCAGAGCCAGAGGCTCTACTAAAAAATCCAAATAAAAATTGGTCCATTTGAGGCCACTTAATTCGTCCAGTTGAAACCATTCAAACCCACAAAACATGCTGGCCGTTTAGTTTCACTTTCAGTGTTGTCAGATTGAAATTGTCAAAATTAAAACTTCTTTTGTTAGCTGTATCGGCAAAAACGCTGGTTTCTACAAGACCAATCACCATTTGCTCTGGCAAAACGCCAGCTACTGAAAGATCGCTGTAATAATCTCGAATACCAACTGAAATGCCATGTGCTGTAGTCTTATATAACACGGCTTATTGGATATTTGACGATGTTCCTTAAGGAGTCTATACATGTAATTCGCGACTTTCTGGTTATATTTCAACTTGTCTAAAATATAAATCAACCAAAACGCACTCGAACTCCTCACAAGCTCTAATTTTACATGGACCTCATCTATCAAATACCTTGGTTGTAAGAATATATCACTATGGAGTCGTCTGAACAATTCCATTTCTTCAGAAGTTACTGTTAGGTGCCACCTGTTTCATGTCCAGCTACACCTCTCATGTGTTATGTTCACATCGTTCAATTTATTAGCCGCATCGATATACCTAATTTTATTAGCCGCATCGATATACCATAAATAAATAATTTTAAAATCGATTCAAAAAGTAGAAATAGAAAGTATAATAGTCGAAAAAAATGCTAAACGCAGAGTCGATTGTACGATTCCAACTGTATCATGTGCATGTCGTTATGATCACTATCACCTTGAGATCACACCTGGTGTTCACAGAATGGCGGATTGCTTGGAGAGCGTTTTTTTGTAGACAAGGAATGGCTTGGACTTCTGATCCCCGTGAGTTACAAGTTCTACCTATGTTTGTTTTCTACCTAGTTTTCGCCCCGTCACAAGATTTACCAGCGGAACAAAACAGCAATGGCCGATTGCTTGGGGAGCGGGTTCCTTGCAGACAAGAAAAGACTAAATGAAGTGTTGGACCAAGCAAGGAGTTTTGCTCTCGCAAAAGGTACATTTATGATTCTGAGGTACTATAAAACAGGGAGGATTTCCCAATAAACGTATAGACATACATATATAGTATGGGTTAGTCCTGCCATCTCGGTAGCCTGAGAAGATGAACAGCCATGGTTGATTGACTGTGCAAGTTGTGTTTATCCCTGTGCAAATCGGTCCAGCAATGTGTAAACATATGCGCTATGGGAGCCTCAGCGGGTAGGTACAGGACGATACATAGGTACTCTTAAGGTTATGGGAAGATGAACCCTAAGTGAACCATGACTAAAATCACAAGACTGAAATCAATCTGGGTACAATGTCGGGGAGTATGGTCATCCAGTCCCATCAGCTTGACCGGTAAAACCTAGCATACAAGAGACTGTATTCCGACTACAGCCTCAGGTCCAGCTGATATAGAATACATATGAAGAGTACAGGAAGCTTCATCTCCTACTTTAATGAGGGCAACGGTGTCTGAAATGGTACCCGTGTAAGGCTGAAGAAAGCTGCTTGGCTCTCACAGCCTGTGAAATGTGTTGTCAAGTAGGGCTTTATCCAAGTGAGAATACGGACAACGGAGTTGGCCAGTTAAATGAAATGTCCTTCTCTTGGAGACCAAGTTTCTGCGGAAACCCCATAATTCTCCAGAACCTTCACATGTATTATGGAGCGGCATTAATATAAGCCATTTAGGCTTGTTTGCCAATCCTTTTCTTTTTTCCTGAATAGAATAAAATATGTTTAAACCATTCTCCAAAAAGTTCTTCATGAGTCCGTCAAACACTGGTCTCTGGTCACGTGTCTTTATTTCCAGCTGATCATATGGCATCTTGCACACAACTGATCATTAACATAATTTCTTTCAAGACATTCTGTGTTGTAGTTATCTTGTAGATCTAGCTTATATGTTTCCATTGATTTCAACATTCAAGTCTAAAACGACTACTTTATGAATATGGCAATATGACAGGAATCTGTATGCAGTCTGAACAGCGAGGACAAGATGGAACAATGCTGGCTCAGCATTTCCCCTTTACCCTGTTCCCCAGCGTGGTGCCCCGGACTTGCTTCCAGGAGGCCGTGGACTGCATGCTGGATTTCAACACACTCATCCATAAAGTAGCCCATGATCACAACTTCCTGGAAAATGCCCTTAAGAAGTAAGAACAAACTATCATTATTGGTTACAGTTTATTATCTTTCGTCACACCATAAATTGTACTAAACGACAGAAACTCAACTAGTCTATCCTAATGCGAGATGTCAGGCATATCTCCACAAAACCTTAAACTAATTTGTATCCAGCTGCATGTCCAGTCTGACCGCTGATTCTTAAATATACCTGTCAAAAAACCACAAAGGCTTAACTTAAACAATTGGACACTGAGCACTATATGTTAGCTTGGTAAACATTTGTAATATCCGTTCTGGTTAGTGTTTCATTCAGCACATCGCCGGCTTGTCGTTTCCATGTCGTATCTTGTGTCTCGATCCCTCATTTCAGTGTTTTGGAGGTTGATGAGTTTACACAGGGGTTATGGAAGATCTACACACAAGTCAGGGAGGAAGGGTACACTCAGGTTGGTATGCTCTTGAGTAGATTTCAGATATAAAACGTCTTCTACCTTCCTTCAACCTTTGAAGAAATCGAAAACCACTATTTCCTATTTTCAGCCCCTGTCATTGGGATTGTTCAGAAACGACTTCATGATCGATGTACAGGACCCTGACCATGTCCAGATTAAGCAGGTTGAGATCAACACAATAGCAGCAGGTGCAGGCAGCCTTGGATCATTGTTAGTTTACCTGCACAGGTAGGTCCTTGTCTGACGTACACCGTCTGAGGCTACCTCTGTAGATGCATCAGGGATATGTGAGACTGTGTGAGTTTAGTTTTACACCGCACTCAGCAATATTCCAGCTATATGGTGGCGGTCTGTAAATATTCGAGTCCGGACTAGACAATCCAGTGATCAACAGCATGAACATCGATGATACAATTATGTTAACGTAGGTTTTGCTTCAGGAATATACATATCCCTTTGAGAACATTGATATTTTGTATCTTCATAAGGGCTCGAAATTTGACAATTGAAGGTGGACTGTAGAAATAGCCTGGAATACATTGGGATCCGCATCGGTTATTCATCTTCAAGCAAGTTTAATACTTATATTGTCTATGTATCTATACCCTACTCGAATTCTTAAAAGCACATTTTCTGAATACATGACACGTTTTATGGATAACAACTTCTTTACACGACGTTTCTGAGCTAATTCTTGCTTCTTCAGCAGGTGAATACTGAGTCAGTACAAAGAGTAAATCTATATAGATTGAAACATGTTACACAATACAAGGAGGGATAATGTACAAAGATAACAATGTAATTACGAAGTCAATTAGATTGGATTAATGCACAAAGATAACAATGTATTCTAATGACAAAGTCATGAATGGGAGTGGGGTGTGTTGATGTACAAAGATAACAACTTAATAAGAAACCAACGATAACAACATGATAGGAAGCCAATTAGATAGGATTAATGTACAAAGATAACATTGTAAGGATGAAGCCAAGAGATTGTAGGACAATAGAGTACACACTTTCGAACAACGTGTCAAGTTATCTTTGTGTTGCCGCTGTGATACCCGTGGATCCACTATGTTATTGAAGCAGTGTAATACCCAAATCACTCCCTCATGTATCCGAAAGGGGCATTACTGATCAGTTCTGTGTATCTATACCTTTTCAAATGGACAAATATTATAAGCATATTTTCCAAGTGTGCTATTCATCCTAAACGTCTCACATTGGTGTTTACATGACTTTTGTGTTGCAGATTGACCCTTGATATGATAGGGAAGCATTACGACAAAGAGGAGGTGAGTGGGATGCACAGACAAGCCCGTCGAAAACGACTCTAATACGTTTACCTGGCCAGAGGATGCAGATCATTGCTTAAAATAAATTGACTTGCCTTTGCATGTGTTTGTGACCCGTCTTCATCATCATATCTGAATAAGCACATTGCTTATGGAACGTGTATGAGCAATGTTCTATTCAAATCACCCTAATATTTACCATATATATGTAATTCCTCAGAGTATAAGCGTTCACTTCCAGGTGGTACTAACTCTGTAGTTTAATTAGTTTATGAGCAAACTTTGGAAGAAACCAATTAGTGTGCTTCAATTAACAATTGTATTCTAAAGAAAGGTAACTATACAAATTGGTATACTTTACTACTGATGTATTTCAGTGAAAGTACAAATTCCAAGGTAATATGATATAAAAGCAGTTAGTATGGCAATAAAGACAGATGGTAATACTCACCTCACTGCAAAATGGTCAAGGCTGAGTATCCAAGGTAAAATGATCTCCACCCAATTGCTGTTTTCATCTCACTTAATATGGAGTGTGAGATGAGAGGTAAGTGTTAGCTGCCCTGGTATATCTAAGAGAAAAATATCTAAGAAAAAGATTTCCAACTTCCAGGATCAGACTATAGTGAAACGGCCATTAGGGTTGTAATACTCTGTTGTACACACTCTAATTAAGACAGGGTATTCCACTTGGAACGTTGGTATGCAATGAATATCATTGCTGCATAGCAAGTCTGTCAGTCTCTCTCTCTGTGTGTTTCTCTGTGTGTCTCTCTCTCGCTCTATCCGTGTGTGAGGTGAGGTGAGGTGAGGTGAAATTGGGTTTAACGTCGTGCTGGAGAATTTTCTCTCATATGACGACGTGCATGCGTGTGTATGTGCGGCTGCTTGTACTAGCCCAGACTGAAGCTGGTTTTCTAGTGCTAGCCCACTGAGATACCATGCCGCAGTGAAGCAGAAATACCCCACTCAGACACATTATACTGACTCCGAGCCGACCAGTTCTTGTTGTACCCATTAATGCCGAGCGCCAGACAGGGACCAACAAGTACCATATTTTAACGTCTTTTGGTATGACGCGATCGGGGATCGAACCCGCGACCTTCCGCTCTCCGGCTATCCGTGTGTGTGCATGAATGAATGATCTTATTTACTCCATTTGTTACGGAGAGTACAAGTAATATAAACATTACGAATGTTAACAGACGTGATATCAAACCATATCATATTAAAGAAAGTAAAAGAGACACGAAACGTCAATATGTTTGTTGTGATACAGCCACCCAACATGCATGAACTGATTTCTCTGGAGTAAATAATATAAAGTCCATGCATTCTACAATGTGTAATACCAAGAAGTAGTGTCAAAATCTCTATTTCAACTTCCACCCAATTTCCAGAAGTAAATATTGACAACATTTCACACTGAATTTCATTTCCAAATAATCAGAATAATAAGAATATATTTGAATTGTTTGATCCGCATTCCAAAAAATACAACTTCATGGATAACAACTTGTTCGTTGCACAGAGCGACGTTTTGGTGAAGATACTTACACCGTTATAACTTTCAGATGTATGAAGTAATGAAAGTATCTCCTCCAGGTTCAGGATAACGACGCTTCTCTGGGAGCAGCTTGGGGTTTACTGAAGGCGTGGGAGTTGTATGGACGGAAACAGTAAGTGCTCTAAATGTCGTATACTGGTGACATCATACACCTTTGTGAAAGTCTGGCATGAATCACAATACCATGAATGATGAGAGCTAACATACTCTCTTTTGAGGTACTTTATTGTCTCGAAAAAGTAGGCATAGCTTTCGAAAATGCTTCTAGCGCTTTAGTGTCTTCTATGTTAATTTTCCCAGGGCTGCCATACTCTTTGTTGTGCGTGACTCAGAACCAAACATATTTGATCAACGGATCCTGGAGTTCAAAGTCTCTCTCTCAACCCTGGGGTTCGGGTTCTACGTCGTACTTACCTGGACATCTACAACGGCGCCTCCTTGACAGAAGATAGGAGACTGGTGGTGTACGTGATCATAAAGTGCCTCCATCAGATACAGTCTCAGTAGCTCACCTTATCATTATCATAGACAAAGTTTAAGCATGTGAAAGAGTGTTATTTTCACTCATCGTCGCATTATCAATATGATTTTGTGCAGCAACTTGCCCAACGTAAGGCATCGGACACACCGTTACTGTAGCTCGCCTTCATTTAATCAAAATGCCTCATTGACATTTGTGTGAGATATTCACAGCAAGTTGAGATGAAAAATGAAACTTAAATTGATTTTTGTCAATATTCCAGGCTACGAATCCGTAAACGAAAATGTCTTAAAGATGATATAATAATACCCGAAAATGCCTACATATGTTACTATACTCTGCTGTGTGTACTCTCTACCTGTAATATAGTATTGATAGAGGCAATTGCAAAAGCATGTATTTCTTTCTCTAGTGACGGAGATGAAGTGGCAGTTGTGTATCTGCGTGCTGGTTATGCACCAAATGATTTTCCTACACACAAGGTAAGTATACGCGTACCTTCACACTATGTATATTTAAGTAGTGGATACGGGCCAGATATCCCCAGCCATCATATATACATGCCAGGCATTGTGTAAATATTTAAATATCTGCGTATATATTATACAGGGACCAAATGGGAGAGAACACATACATGTTTCAGATGGTGTGTATGCAAGTTGTGGTTTCGGACCAAACATCATGTTGTATGTCTCAGATAGTTTGGATCTAAGTAGTGTTTCTATTGCTATTTTATTTTGACCATCGGAATCAGGAATTAGGAAAAACGTTGTTCATTAATATGAAACATAACAAAAAAATGTCTCCTTCCCTGATTGAGTCACGTGGTACCTATGCTGAACAATCCTCCTCTCAACTCATTGTGTATGTCTCAGATATACTATTCACACTTTGCTAAGGATCAAATCATGGATTCAATAGAAAACTATGATGTGGGGACAAATTTGGGTTAAATATCTAAGCTTATTGTAAACATGGTTCCTAGGTTTCAGTATGTCATTGCTTCTTGTGGATCCCATACCTGCTGTTGACAGGTGTTGTGTACTTGTCAGTGACTCGTTCCATGATTTGCAAAATGATTGATTGGTGCCATGAAAACCATTCTTAAAGTTACTCATGTATGAAGTGGAAAATGTTAGAATAAAGTGGCTGTCTGCCTAAAGAGGGGTTAACATATTATTATTTATCCAGTTTTAAATGGATACAATTGCATTTTATAAATCTACGTTTAAGTAAAGTTGTGAATTGTTGTGATCCTTATCAAAGTGTGAGTAGTATAGTTCAGAAGTAGTGTTTCTATAGTTGTTTCATTTTCACTACACCCAGGTTTAATAATAAGGTAAAGGATGATGCTGATTTTAGCATTTCTTTTAGCAAAAGGAATAAAACATGATAAAGTCCATACCTTCTTGATTGAGACAGGTTTTACTGAATGACTCGTAAATCAGTGATTACCATACTGGCTACTGTTTTAGGAATGGGATGCAAGACTAAAACTTGAACGTTCAATGGCTATCAAATGTCCCTCCATCCAATATCATCTGGCTGGGTTAAAGAAAATCCAACAAGTAATATCCCAACCTGGGTCAGTGGAAAAGTTCATTAAAGACCCAGCTGCAGTGAAGAGAATCCGAGCTACATTTGTGAAGCAGTATAGTTTAGATCTGGTGAGTACTTTTACGTGATAAACGAGGGCAAATCGTGATACTCTGAGAAGCCAAGAGATACAACCAGCTTCACTTGAAATCAGTGTCACACAAGCAACTTCATCTGAAAACCGTCACACAAGAACATGTTGCTAAGAAACATGGATCGCGCACACATTGATATTTCACCACTCGCCTCTGCTCAGGGAAGTCACCATACATCACATTTTTATCATCTGTTGATAGTAAGACGCTATGAAGTCCAGTTGTGTAATGTCTATGGTGTCTCTTGGTATCAAACATACAGTGTGCGAAATAGCCACTGGCCCGCTATCCCGCGGCTGGTAAAAATCCAGTCGGTCAAGTAAATCTCCACAGTCACTTGCTCGACTGGCTAGTGAATTTTCATGGAGTCATTTGTTTTGATGGTAGTTTACCTTTTTCTAATCTTTTGCTTATTTCTACATTCAAATTTCGGGCTAGTGAATTATTTTGTGGGCAAGTACCTTTCAGGTAATGCGAGCCCGACTGACTAGGAAAATTTGGAAACTATTTCGCACACTGCAAACATAAATCATTATGTTTGGTGCCCAGGGTCCAGAGGGGGATAAGGGCGCGGAGTTGGGGAAGACTCACCCAGGCATGTACGTCCTCAAGCCTCAGAGAGAAGGGGGAGGTAAGTCTTCTGCCTCATATATTAGATTGTGCCTTAATGCTGTTTTATTCATATTGCGGAGGAGTCGTTTCACCAAAACAACTCTTTCACTGAATGTACACGTACATCTCTGATGGCTGATTGAATGTACACGTACATTTCTGATGGCTGATTGAATGTACACGTACATCTCTGATGGCTGATTGAATGTACACGTACATCTCTGATGGCTGATTGAATGTACACGTACAACTCTGATGGCTGATTGAATGTACACGTACATCTCTGATGGCTGATTGAATGTACACGTACATCTCTGATGGCTGAAAAGAAACCGAATAGATGTGCTGTGTGCAAAGAGACCCCACTTTGTCAGGTTGTACTCAGAAATCAGGCGAGAAAGCTATTACATTGATTAATTAGATTAATAACAGTCCATCATGTGTCTGTGTCTTCTTTCTCCTGTCAGGACACAACCTGTATGGAAACGACATCAGAGAATTCCTGGAGACACACCAGAATTCCACAGAGAGGAATGCCTACATCCTGATGGAGAGGATATTCCCAAAGGCACACAAGAACTATCTCGTCACACCTGGGAGACCTTCTGCCCTGTCTGATGTGACCAGTGAACTGGGGATATTTGGAGTGTACATTGGGTGGGTATAGTGCTTCGAATCATTGATACCTTTTCTGCTGAATTAACCAATGGGCGTATATTGCAACACATGTTAGACTTTGGACAACACAATCTTAGTAAAGTATAAATTGGATTACTTTTGGGGTTACGTCCTCTTGGGATTCGAACCCACACTATCGGAGTGAGGCACAAAGTCAGCAACCTAACCGTTTCAGCCCCCAAGGCTTCCTCAAAAGGTAGAAGTCCGATTCCTTTTAGAATGTAGTCAATTGTATCATATGCTATATTTGGGAGTACAGAAAACGACTAGAATTTGAACATGAAGAAAGTATAGTCCTGAATGTAACAAATGTTACTTCTGATCACTGACAGAATTGTCATACTCGGTTTTTCTGAATCCTTTTTGTCAGGGACACCTTTTCTGTTGGGTTTCACGATTACCTTTCCCTGTCCTATACAGTAGAATGTGGTCAAATATATCGTGTCTTCCATTTGGGAGAAAAAAGAACGCTTTACACTCATTTTCTTTCAGCGTACATTTTTGAGATCATGGAAATCGGAAGAAAAAAATGTATCTGAACACAATTTCTTCGATATGACAAAAACAAGTATTAGTTACTTGACCTGTGTACGCAATGACAGTATACAATGTCTAATGGTTTGTTAATACACGGCAGTTACTAGTTAATGTACGTGTACGTTTTCTAGTGTATTTTATATTACACAAAATAATTTAAGGTTAGATGAATGTAAAACTACTTGTTTTCATTGTTTGCTAAAATCCTTTAACCGTTATAATGACAACTGATGAAACTTCAAACAAGAATTTCCAAATAGAATTTCTTGTTCATCTAAAGTAACAATGAACGCCTCACACTGGCATTTCCACATTTAAAGACGTCAAGGAGTTATGCGACCTAGAAACATACTGATTTGTTCCATATTAGATATCAAATGTACCATTGTAAGGTAATGGATATGTAATACAACAACGTGAAATACTGTCAAACATAACGGCTGCAGTCTTTGCCATTTTAAGAGCACTGCAAATACAAATACATTTGTTAATCATCTTTGACAAACGCTTAGTAACAGACATCGGATTATATAGGCATTTATGATCATTTAAGCTAGTACAATCTAAATTGTATTCTACGTTACAGCAATCGTATGTTAAGATAATCTCAGTATGTTTTTCATTACCGAGCATGATTATTCATGATGCATTTCATTAGAATATCACATTACACACATTGACAGACGTTTAACAGTTTGACTTGTACACACATACAAGAATCATAATGTTGAAATTTCAGTACTTACGTACCGATGATTTTACCCGTCATAGCTTCAGATCATGAGCACCCCGCACATTGAAATCAGCATGAATGACGCAACATGTTTTCATGAGTCATCAAATTTGTTAGCGACGTACATACAATGTAGCCATATATGGAACTGTAACGTAAATACCGTCACGTAGAATACGTAACGTTAAATACGTCAGTCATTGTTATGAGCCACGCATGTTAAACAAATGACACAGTGCGAATATAGGAGACGGGAAAAGGAACTAGGTTGCATGCTCCTTACCAGATGATAACATAGATGTGCTCAGGCTATGTATAAGGTCTTAAAACGTCGTAACGTAAAATACACCCTTAACTATACTGTATATGATTGTATCTTCCAGACATGTTTATTGTTTAACAAATTATTACAACAAATGGATTTGATGTTCAATGCCTTCAATAAAGCATGAGCGATTACTTTCTTAATGTTACTGTATGTATTTTTTTCTCTTTTCATGTTGTTTTCTTTCCTTTGGACCATAACGTAAAATACCAAAGAGTTGGCGACAATGGAATTTCATTACAACTTGACTGATACCCCCAAATATAAGGTTAAATGACTACCCCACAGTTAAATTCAGCATGATATCTTCCATACAATGCATGAAAAGATAAGATGCATTATCAATAGTGTTAATTTTGATGCAACAAATATATACACCGTTGCTGGCAACATGCGACTTTTAACCAAAATGTGATTTTTTTCATATCGTAGGAATATATTCTTTATGTATTATGGAAGTGGTAATGGTAAATTAACAAAGAATCTTTATCTCCAAACTAACTTTTGTGAAGCAGTGCAATATTTTTGCACATAAATCATGCGACAACGCAATAGTGTAAATGGGTAGGTTGGCTACCCCACCGCCCTTTTTCGTGAAAGCCTAGCGTTAAGGGTTATTATTGGTTTTTCAGTGATCCATTCATACAATTTTTGTCATTATTTTGCGTTCATCACCTTATAGGGTCTCTGGCGGCACGGGATTGATAGTTCTGGTGTTCTTGGTTTGTAAGACTGAAAGTCTACGTCTCATACCAGATGGGGAATTTTGTTTATGTTTTATGGTTTTGTTTTGTGTCAGCAATATGTTTGATAATGAGCTGGAGTTGTGTGAATGATGGTATACTGATGTTGGCTCGCACATGGTTGTTGAATGGTGGTGGTTATGTTGTGCCTGAATGACTTCAGTATGAGTGATGATGCACGTGTGTTTTTGTGTGATGAAGTTCATGTTTAATCTGAAGTATCTGATGGTTTCTGTTTTGACAGATCCGCCACTGAAGAGAAGATCAACATGCAGTGTGGCCACATGCTAAGGACGAAGCTTCTTGAAACAGACGAAGGTGGACTCTGTACTGGGCATGCGTGTCTTGACTCACCATTCCTCGTGAACGACGAACTGTGAAAGTGCCAATCTATCCTGTAATGCCTTTGTAAATATGTGAATAAATATTTGCTTTTGGAATACATTGTTAATTTTATCACAATGCGTTTGTCGTTTTCACGTCAAGTTCTTTTACGATCAACTACTGCTTCAGTTCAAATTTGGGAATGAACAAAGTTGACCAAATATTCTGAAGGCATGCTTGCATTTATCTTACTATGCTTAACGAAAAACTCCAAAGATATATTTCTATCGAAATTGGTTGTTTGGGCACGAAGTTGCTTCTTTTATACTCAAAACACATGTTGAAAGGTGGTAACTGGTTTTTGCCGAGTATCCGCGTTTTACCCACCGAAGAGAGGCGACTTACTCAGTGTCAAGCATTAATGTAATAGAATAATGAAACACATCCTTTGGAAAGAAGACACATGCCCTGAGAAGAAAGGCATAAACATAAGGACAAAAGAATATTGGATTCAAGGTCAGAGGTGAGGCTGATCTGCGGGATGCCCTAATAAATAATAAATAATGCCCTAATAAATAATGGGCAACGATGTTGCCAGCCAATGATAATAGAGCAATCTCATTTCTGCTGAAGGAGTGAGTGAGTGAGTGCGTTTGGTTTTACGCCGCACTCAGCAATATTCCAGGTATATGGCGACGGTCTGTAAATAATCGAGTCTGGACCAGACAATCCAGTGATCAACAGCATTTGCATAGATTTACGCAATTGGGAACCGATGACATGTGTCAACCAAGTCAGTGAGCCTGACCACCCGATCCCGTTAGTCGCCTCTCACGACAAGCATGGGTTACCGAAGGCCAATATTCTAACCCGGACCTTCACGGGTTTCTGCTGAAGGAGACAATAATAAGGCAAAGTGCAAATATTCCTGTCCACCGAAAATCAGAAGGATAAAACAGATTCCGGTTGAAGAGCCGTCCTGGAATAATTTTGAATATTGCCGAAGTATTAATGATTGCAGACCACAACATCCAGGCCAAAATGCACCATCCCAACAAAACATGTCAGGGTTACCAGCTGCAATGTCCGGGTGACTCACGGATAACACAGACCCACATACACACACACACACACACACACACTTCTATCTCAAACAGTCTGTTGGAAATCCTTCCGATCAGCTTCTTTCTTGATGTATCCGTTACGTCAAATTAGCGTGCCCCTTGCAAGTGCATGTTGGACCAGATGTTAGTGTTCGAAGGAATCAATGATTAGGTCCAGGTCGAGTTGACTGGACATGACTGATCCAGGTTGTTTGAACCTAGGTGAAATAAGATGACCCTGGACTTAATGTGATTTTCCACGTTGAGAAGGAGATCCCCCCGCTTCATCCCTCCCCTGGCCAGCCACAGACAGGATGTCCACCCCTCCCTTGAAACAAACTCGCCAAGTAGCTTGATCCCACAAGCCAGACTGAAACATAATTGCACAACGCAGAAAAGTTTCGATTGAAGTCAAATTGACATTTGCGGCAACCGTATATATGACCTAAATAAATCTGATCCCTATCTACCAAATGTTTTAATAACTTGCTGACTCAATCAGTTCGTAGTGGCGGCATCTATTCTGAAACAGTGAGATGTATAATTATTGTTTGGTAGGCCACTGAAGGCTAAAGACTTATTTCTGACTGCCTGAAATTGATACTTTTTGCAGGAGACACAGATGATAGACTCACTGTATGAATCTAAAAGTCAATGGATGAACAAATGATGACGTAACACGAAGTAGACACATGGCATCATTAAATAAGATAACCGGAAGTGACATAAGCAAAGATAAAAGAGCCGGGAAGAACGAACTGAAAAGAGTAAGTGAGTGAGTTGAGTTTTACGCCGCGTTTTACGAGTTGAGTTTTACGCTGAGTTTCACTCAGCAATATTCCAGCTATATGGCGGCGGTCGAAATGAAATTAAGTGCAAATGGTTTAAATAAACGCATTGATTGTTAAGCACTAAATGTGACAGGTTTGAAATAGGCAATGAATATCCAAATAAAAGAAAACAGATATTGTTAGAAACACCCTGGGTAGAACGTGTTCCCAGCATCCAATTACTTGTCGTGAGATAAGGGTGAATTAGGCAAGTTGTTTGTGTTGGCGATGAACCATAACAGATGTCTATCTTGTCTAAAGCACCACGTCAATCCCAACTTCACCCAGACTGATTGTCGGATAAAATCGGTTCAGGCTCACACACATATTTTCAGGCTTTTCACACATATTTGACTTTACACGAACAGTTTTTCTGGACTAAGACTAAGAAAACTGCTTTTATAGGCTGAAGATACACAACGCAGCAAATCTGTGTCACAACGATTATATGCCTGTGATTAGATGTTATAAGTGAGACATTCAAGTAGGTATAAATAGATTAGATATAACCAACCGTCTGTTATATCTGAGTTGTCAGTCCAGATTTCAAGAGGTTATAAAGCAATGATATCACAGGAGCCACTGAAAAATGAGTCTCCACTGACCTGTGTTGGTTATATCATCAAATATTTGTCATAATATTCCGATGCTTAATATTACCTTTATCACATAATTATACAAAACTGTGATTTGCTCGTGGTTATGCTGTTTGCTAGTAGTTATGCTGTTTACTAGTAGTTATGCTGTTCGCTAGAAGTTATGCTGTTTGCTAGTGGTTATGCTGTTTGCTAGTAGTTATGCTGTTTGCTAGTAGTTATGCTGTTTGCTCGTGGTTATGCTGTTTGCCAGCGGTTATGTTGTTTGCTAGAAGTTATGCTGTTTGCTAGAAGTTATGCTGTTTGCTCGTGGTTATGCTGTTTGCTACTAGTTATGCTGTTTGCGAGTGGTTATGATGTTTGCTAGTAGTTATGCTGTTTGCTAGTGGTTAACCTGTTGGCTAGTGGTTAACCTGTTTGCTAGTGGTTATGCTGTTTGTTACTAGTTATGCTGTTTGCTAGTGGTTATGCTGTTTGCTAGTGGTTATTCTGTTTGCTAGTGGTTGTGCTGTTTGCTAGTGGTTAACCTGTTAGCTAGTGGTTAACCTGTTTGCTAGTGGTTATGCTGTTTGCTACTAGTTATGCTGTTTGCTACTAGTTATGCTGTTTGCTAGTGGTTATGCTGTTTGCTAGTGGTTATGCTGTTTGCTACTAGTTATGCTGTTTGCTACTAGTTATGCTGTTTGCTAGTGGTTATGCTGTTTGCTAGTGGTTATTCTGTTTGCTAGTGGTTGTGCTGTTTCCTAGTGGTTACGCTGTTTGCTTCTAGTTATGCTGTTTGCTAGTGGTTATGCTGTTTGCTACTACTTATGCTGTTTTCTAGTGGTTATACCACTCAGTTTAACAACAGAAATCTGAAATAGGCTTTACATTTAAGCATTCAATACAGTTGGTGTAAACGTATGAATTAACGTTTATAATAAACACATAATGTTGAATGTGTGTATGTTGCTTTACTTAATTATCGTTTTTTATTGAACAGATATTAATATAAATGTTAGTTTTAATAACTATGTCCCGTCATCCATGCACATGTCTTACAGCGTTCATTATGGCCAGTTATATGCTGTCGATTGTTGCAAATGTTTATAATATTTTTGTGCTTGAAAAAGACAGGTAAACCTTTCATTGCTTTGGAAGGGGTTATCACAGAACTTGTACAGCAGCTGGTATGTCTTACCAACAAAGTTTACAATATTGTAAACAAATCAAACAAGACAGGGGCCGTCTCCAAAGCAAAAGCGGGACGTAGAAGCATCCTTGACAACTTTGACAAGGGAGTGATCAGACGGGAAGTCTTCAAACTTTACGAGAGGAAAATTCCATCTACATGTAGGAATATCAGAGAGGAAATTAAAGACAGTATCAACGTCTCCAGAACCCTCTCATCGTTGCCCTCCATGAGATGGGGTTCAAGTACAAAGCCCGTGGTGATGGCATAGCTGTCTTCAGGGAGAAGCACTCTATTGTGTCGATAAGATCCTCTTACTTGAGAACTGTGGCAGAATACCGTGCCCTTGGCTTCCAGATAGTTTACCTGGATGAAACTTGGGTTACCTGGATGAAACTTGCATCAACAAGAACCATTCTACACTATATGTGGTTACCTACAGACCGACAGAGGGCCCCCATGGTACCATCCTGGAAGGGCAACCGAATGATTGTACTTCATGCAGGAAGCCGGGACAAAGGATTGATCGACGGTTGCGAGTTGGTCTTTGAGGCAAAGAAATCAAGTGGAGATTACCATCAGGAGATGAACGGAGAAGTCTTCATGGATTGGATGGAACATCAACTTCTGCCCACTGTCATAGTGATGGACAATGCCAGGTACCATAATGTGCGGATACCATGTAGCATCACACCCACAATGAGAAGCCTGAAGCAGACGATACAAGATTTCCTCACATCGTGTGGTGTTCACTACAGACCGACAGACCCAAAAATATAATTTCGTACTTTGAAGTTTACACAGATTCCCGAACGTTGGTTGGTTGAGAGAGCGGTCATGTGATCTAAATTTCAAGGTTCATTTCCCTTGAACCCTTCAAATCGTTCATACGTGTGTAAACATCGTTCATATGTGAACGTTTTCGAGCCGATCTGGGTCATGTGAACTTTTGCCGGAACTACTTTCCGGGTTTTCCCCAGGATACTCGCTGTCCAGCTTGACGTAAACAAAATGAATCATTTGCATTCACGCTTCTTTTAATTTATACATATCACTTACTTGTTTTTGCATGTAACAAAAAGCACCAACTGAGCACAGTTTTGCAAAAATCTGACCGACAACGCGTCCGACAACAAGTCCCAGCCAGTGCGACCTAATTTTCAAATTTCCGCTACGGTTTCAAGGAACCCCAATGATCTTGATGCATTTAGTGATGCTAATTTAGCGAGCGATCCTGTTTCAAGTCACCCCAAAGGGCAATGTCACTTCTTCACGACCAGACGGATTTCCAATTCCCGAGCATTGTTCGTTATCACAAGAGTTTAATCTCTCGCGGTTTGCGGGTTCTGCCCCGTGATCTGTTTAAAAACTGCTAATTAAATTTCACAATAAACAATCACAAATAAATAGAATACACCAACGAGATCTGCTTCCTATTCGCCACGCTGCACAACTTCGAAGTCGGTCAGTGTATTATTACGCGGTCAAACGAATCCGTCATAGTTTTATAGGTACAATGACAGTTTGTTAAAATGATATTGTTATTGATATTTGTTTCTGTTTGATAATTTTATTCATGTTATGCTTATTAAAGCAGTTTCAAAACTATTGACGAATTTGTTGTAATATTTTAAGGAATACCTAGAGATCTATTTCTTCAAGGGTTGGGATACATGCGTACAAAAATCGCCAAGTATACAAACATCGCTACAATACGGTCTTGAACAGAATGACATTACAACATTTAACAGGTATTAAAACACATCACTGTAAACAACGATCATGTAGAAGTGGGTTAAAAACGTATGTAAACACGAGTTTGAACAACGCTTTGACATCGTTCATTTTTCAGTACAAACACGCAAAGTGACATTCAATTCTTAAATAGCTGATGGAGAAGATCTGCATGAACAAGAATCCTATTCAGTACAGGCCGACAGGCTGGCTGCTCATCACGGTCACGTTGTGTTACGGTCATCCGTGAGACATTGTGAACTGAACCCAATCGAATTTATCTGGGCAAACTGTAAAGGGTTCGTTGCGAGGAACAACACTACCTTCAAGCTCTCGCAAGTGAAGGTGTTGATCCATGCATCGTTTGGCAGGATAAGTGTGGCAGCCCGCAGAGGACCACGTCCTTGACATTTAACGCCAATACTGTCAACGTGACGGAGTGGACATCAGTGTTGTAACACCTGTTGCGATCCCAGTGCATAAGGACACGGATTCAGACACAGATTCGGATTTTAAAAGTGTTCTAATGGTCTTCAGTCTGTTATATTTGAATAAAATGTGTACTTTCATTAAGTTTATGTGTCGTTCAAGCAGTTGGTTTTATACACATCTGACCATCATAAATTTACTTTGATTAATTGATTATTTTCATACAGTGATTCCTGAGCAAACAGACAACAAAACAAAACGTTATCATTGCTCAACCGATTCTATTTCGACATAGCCAGGCCCCGATTTCTCGAAACAAACTTAAGTTCTAACTCAAATTTCAAACTGAGTTTGACAATTTGAAACAGCTGAATTTTTAACTCAGCTGCATTTTTTTAATAAAAAAGCCCAAAATACTTAAGTATTCTATTCACCAAGCTCAAGTTGTCTACTATGTTTGAGCTTAATATCGATTTCAGTTCATTCGCGGAAATGCATTTTCTCAAATTTGAGCAAAAATTTGAACTTAAGTCAAAACTCAGACTTAAGTTTGTTTCGAGAAATCGGGGCCAGATCTACTCGCTGACAATATATCTGTTTTAAAGAAGTTATACCAGTGACTTAGTTTAGTCTTTGGCCAATGTTCACAGCTGGATTAAATTGACAAAATTGCATATGATATATCCATATTTGCAATGATATACTGTAGACATACAAAACATTTATTAAAACGCTGCACGTTGCTACAATCAAAAGATAAAATAACACAACGATGGGATTCTTTCTAATGCACAGTAATCCGTGTGTTTCTTTCAAAACACACACACACACACACACACACACACACACACACACACACACACACACACACACACACACACACACACACACACACACATCCTTTACTCAACCAATACGTACACTATACGTACACATATTCAACATTATGAAGACAAAAGTCTACTCAGATGACCCTCACCCGAGCGTGTGCTCAGGTATCAATTTCACCTGTCGATACCGTGCATGCTGATGACATAACGCAGGCAGTTAATGTTTGTTTCAAATAACGTTCCAATACCCCTTATTTTGTCTAGGTTTTTGATGTTTTCATCTGTAAAAACACATTTTAGGACATGTCTCAAAATTTATTATCTCGGTCTACATTAGGTAGATGTTGCTTACAGTGATGTTGTTATTTCAGTAACTCTCATATCTCTTAATTTTGAATAAAGTAAAAAAGCGTTTTTCTAGCATTTCGACAGTACTTTAGTAGCAAACATCATAACCACTATCAAACAGCATAACTACTACCAAACAGCATAACCACCAGCAAACAGCATAACCATTAGTGAGATTGGGGACTACAATTGATCGCGTTCGGGGCACATTGAAACATCCTATAATGAACCACTGTGACTGTCGAATGATCTATCCACTCACTGTGCATGTGTGTGTGCGTGCGTGCGTGCGTGCGTGCGTGCGTGCGTGCGTGCGTGCGCGTCACGGCCTTTCAGTTTGACTCTCAGTCATATCTGTCTCTACTTAACGCTGCAGATAAGTCAACAACCACCTTGTAACACATATGAATAACCTTGTAAACAGCCTAGTGCAACTATATCTTGCTATTTTTCTAATGATATTTTTGTGATTATACATGCAGTGTATAAGTATGTGGAGTATCTGTGATACCCTTTCACGGTAACCTATATAAAAACTTATTCATGCATATATGTTTTCGCAGATCAACAGGGATAGCTATGTTAACGCTCACTTCGGGGTCACAGTTCATGGGTTATGAATGCTCAGTGAAAGCTGATGGCAATACGGCCCGCAAATACAGGTAAGTACACTGTTTTTCTTGTATACCGATATTATTATCAAAATAGAAATTTAGGAAGAGGATATAGTCAAATAAGTTTAATTGTCGGAAAGACTGCTGAAAGCAGAATCAGTTGAACGATTCCAACTGTATCAGGTTCATGTGTTTATGAATCACTATCAAAGTGTTATTTCCTCGGGTGTTTGCTTTCCCAACCATGGCACCCGTAACAAACACATTCAAACAGGAAATCAACTCTTTACTTGAAAAAGACACATGGTGCAAGAAATTCTAAGGTGCTTTGGTGAAAGATCAAATGCGCTGATAATTATGGTGGCTGATTAGGGCCATCGCTTTCTCGCCTTAAACTTCATAGATAATACTTAATCAGATGATAATGTACACTCTTTGCATGACAATGTACTAACGTCACTGCGCCATTCTAGTCTGCCCCCTCGTAATCAAACGTACCCTTGGTAACCAACGTCACGATGCATGTCAGTTGAGATGAGATGAGATGAGATGAGATGAGATGAGATGAGATGACATGAGATGAGATGAGGAGATGAGATAAGATAATTCTTTGTTATCGCAATAAAGGGAAATTTGTTTTGCATCATATGCAGTTCTCCAGTTTTTCTTTCATAAGGCAGCCATATTAACATTGCAAGTGATAATCATAAAACTATTGTTTAAACTAATCAGGATATAAATACATCAGTTTAGTACACAAACATTGATATTGACTGATTTGGACAGTTGGAGGACAAGTCATTCATTGAGTTTGTTGTAAATACATCTAATACTAGCTGGAACAAATGAGTGGCGAACCCTGTTTGTTCTAAAAGTCGGCATACGCAGCCTGCGCCCAGAAGGTAATGATGAATATTCCGAACCAAGTATGTGAGTAGGATCACTTAAAATTTTGTTTGCCGGTTTTGAAATTTGCTGCTCTTAGCCCAATAATTTTAGACGATTTTTTAGAGTTTGCTTTTATTCTGGACAGACAGGTTTCCGAACCAACTCAAGAATTTAAAGGTTACGACACTTTGAATAAAGGTTTTGTAAAATAATATCATGATAGTTTGGTCGATTTTAAAATGTTTCAACTTCCACAAAAAATGCAAGCGTTGTTGTCCTTTCTTAAATAGTTTCTCAGTGTTTTCGTTCCAGGAGAGTTTTGAATCTAAGACAGTACCCAAATAGTTGTATTCAGTTACTCTTTCTATTTCATTAACTTTAATACTTGCAGCATTTATTGTTGACTTAGCTTTTCTAAAATCTATGATAATTTCTTTGGTTGTTTGCACATTCAAAAATAAAAAGTTTGACTTACACCATTCTACAAATTTTTAAATTTCAGCTCTGTAACTAAGTTCTGATTCCCTAACAAGACCTACCCATGCATCATTATCAGCGAATGTAACTGTAAAACATGTTTCTGCGTTGGCTACACAGTCATTGGTGTACAATATAAACAGAATTGGTGAAATAACGCAACCTTGCGGAGCGCCAGTTGATGTGTTTACAATTGATGATTTCACATTATTAACCTATACAAATTGTTGTCTGTTAACTAGAAATGAATTAATCCATTTGATGATGTTAGAATTAACATTCATTCAGAAAAGTTTATGAATTAACAAATGAGGTTGAATAGTATTAAAGGCATATGAAAAAATCAACAAACATTATTCTTACATAAGTACCATAGTTTTCTAAATGGTTATATATATCGTTTAACGGAGTGATTGTTGCATCTTCTACCCCACACCTTGCTCTGTATGCAAATTGTAATGGGCCAAGAACATGGCTGACTTCATTCAACAATATGGTCTTGAAAATGCGTTCTAAACATTTCATGGCAATAGAGGTTAGGGCCACTGGTCTGAAGTCATTATTAACAGAGGGATTTTTCTTTTTTGGCAATGGAACAATTTTAGAGCTTTTCCAAAGAATGGGAACATTATGAGAATTAATTGATATCTGAAATAGCTTTTGAAAAATAACAGCCAGTTGCACTCTACATTCCTTAAGAACAATCCCAAACAAGTTATCAGGCCCACAACATTTATGTGGATTTATCTTAGCAAGTGAATTAATCACATCATCTGTCGATATATTTAACATTTCACAAGATGGAAGCGATTCCAATTATAAGTTTCCTTTCATCTGAAAAAATTCCAGTATCAAATAGGGAGTAGAAGGAGTTTAACACATTTGAAAAAGATAAGTCGTTGGTGGATTCCAACTGTCGAGGTCTAATATTAGGACAGAAGCGCCCTCGTGCTTTAACTATAATAGTTCAGGGCGAAAGTGTCCTTTATTACACTATACATGGTGGTAGAGTGAACTGTATTTACTAAATAATATGGAATTGCATCTGGCATAATTCGTGTAACAGAAGCGTAAAATCGGAGAATGCCCTCATATTCTTTATTAGGAATACTGGTGTCCAGCTTAGAGTTGTTTAGTTACAATCAAACATTGTGTAAGTTATTCATCTAAGGCAACCAATATAAAACATTTCACAATACCACAATAACAACAACAACAGAACAAGGCAGAATGGCGGATTGCTTGGGGAGCAAAGGGAAAGATTTGGACTTTCGGTCTCGGTCAGTTACAAATTCTACATGTATCAAATTCTGGTAATTTAAAACTATCATTAGGTAGGTGCTGTGTAAGGAAATAGTTATCTGTCTAGTTTATTGGTTGTACATGATAATGTAAAAAGTGGTTCATTGAAAGACATCGATGTTATCAAATCCATTTTCAGTTTGATGTAACATGTCGTAATTACGAAGAAATATTTCAGCACACTATAGTTCCATTTTTTCCCCAGTATCAAGATAACCAGTGGAACAAGACAGCAATGGCCGATTGTTTGGAGAGCGAGCTTTTTGTGGACGAGAAAAGACTTAATGAAGTGTTGGAAAAAGCAAGAGCTTTTGCTCTAACAAAAGGTACATATATAATTCAAAGGTACTGGGTGCCGTTCCACTAACCGATCTTAGCCCTATGCCAGTCGTAAACCCCTAAAATCCCAATCTTAGCGTGACGTTACGATCGGCATACCGTTCCACTAACCAATCTTACCTAAGTCAATCGTAAAGTTAAGATTCAAAGTCTACGTTGCTCATGACCAACTTAGGATAGCTAAAATCAATCGTAGAGAAACCAAAATGGTGGCTTTCCTATTCTATGTGAAAAATAAGAGCGAGCACTTCACCGTGAACGTCCCCTAAAATCCCCCATGACAGTGCAGTGAAGCCTTACAAATGTCAGACCAGTCTGACCACTGTCGTCATGGGAACACAACCGAGCGAGTCGGTGTAACACATTTGTACAACAATATTGCAACGTCATGGTTAAGAATAGGGACAGCCGTGAAGTGAACAATGTTCTGAAACAAAAAGATACAAATATGTTTGATTTCACGTGCGCTTATTTGGTGGGGGATTGTAAAGGCAGGCCGCGTGTTATTTAAGACCACTGACAGATTCTAGATACGTTATAGAGGATGCCTCGTCACGCCTTGTTTATTCTGTTATACAAGGTTCAGGCACATAATAAAAGCTCTGACACAATTGACATTTTTTAAGTCCAGACTTAAAACCTGTTCTCAGTATATTACTTATAATCTCGGCTGTAAATACTCTCGTGTAAATTATCTGTACACAGCGCTTTGAGCATGCCCAAGGATGTGGAATAGGCGCACTATAAATATGCATATATTATTATTATATTATGCTTGATACCCAGCGTTCTCACTTGCACCTGAAACCAAGGTCACTTGGTTGGAAAAATACCCATGAAGGCCCGGGTTAGAATATTGAACTTCAATAACCCATGCCTGCCGTAAGAGGCCACTAACGGGATCGGGTGGTCAGGCTCGCTGACTTGGTTGACACATGTCATCGGTTCCCAACTGCGCAGATCGATGCGCATGCTGTTGATCACTGGATTGTCTGGTCCAGACTCGATTATTTATAGCTAAGATACATAGCGTTCACTAACATGAACGCTCATGTTAGTGAACGCTATGCATCTTAGCTAGATTATTTACAGACCGCCGCCATATAGCTGGACTATTGCTGAGTGCGGCGTAAATCTAAACTCACTCACTCACTCAGTTGGTTCGTAAACTACTTTCTATCATTTGCTAAACTATGCAAAGGGAGATAACTCGTGCCTCGCATTCCTCTATCTCTCGCACGAAAGAGTCTCGATCTAAGCTTGGATCTAAGATCGGGACCGGCTACGATCGGCCTAAGATCGGTTAGTGGAACGGGTGTAACTTTTAGCTAAGACGATTGTAAAATTAGCGTAACTTGCTAAGATTGATCTTAGATAAGATCGGTTAGTGGAACGGCACCCTGGGAATTTAAGGCTTAGATGCAACCCAAAAAAATAAATATAATTAAAACACAATTATCATTTATTCATGACATATAATATACATGATTATGAAAAAACAAATAAACAAAATTATAAGCGTACAATCGCACATCAAAAGTGCCATATTTTGTACTTGGGTTTACTTCCCTCGAAACAAGGCTCCCAGGATACCGAACCCAGTCAGAGCGGGTGGGCGTGCACTTATAGTCCGTTTCACTTCATTTGAGACCAATGAATTGCTCACTAACACAAAATCTAATAAATGCAACAAAATCAAATATTGCACAGTCACATGAGATTGACAGACCATCTCTGATGATTTGTCTCATAATTTTGGACACCCGAAAAAAAAAGTTCTTTAACTAACGATCATTATTCTGTTGTAACTGTTCGCTATTTCTTACGAGGGAGCACCACTTGCTGGAAGAACAGCCAGGTAATCAACAAGAGTTTGCAGCGAGATTTCAATTTCACACGAACAACTCGCACACCTGGCTGTTCTACCAGCAAGTGGCCCTCCCTCGTAAGAACAGAGACCATATAATAGATCTATTATATGGTCCTCGTAAGAAATAGCGAAAAGTGACAACAAAATAATGATCGTTAGTTAAAGAACTTTTAATTCGGGCGTCCAAAATTATAAACATAGTTAAAACACAATTATCATTTATTCATGACATATAAAATACATTGCTGATTATGAAAAAAACAAATAAACAAAATTATAAGCGTACAATCGCAAATCAAAAGTGCAATATTTGGTACTAGGGTTTACTTCCTCGAAACGAAGCACCCAGGATACCGAATCCAGTCAGAGCGGGTGGGCGTGCACTTAAGTGTAATGAAGTCTTTCATTGGCTGGTTCCTTTGCCGATACACTCAGGGCTCTTTGTGTGTGTATAAAAATGTTGGGTTTTGTAAATACATGCTTATTTTTGTGTATAACATTTTGCAATCAACAAACATCATAAGATGTCATGTGTACAATTATCACACTTGCCTGTCTGTGTAATTACATAATGCGACAGAGACAGAACTCGGGTGCACGAGCCATAAATCAATGCGTTTTGTTTATGGTGAAAAGCCTGATAGGTGTTAAGTTCAAATTGCCTGTGGTTAGTGATGGAAGTTGTGTATTGTATATTATCATTAGCAGACAGGCAGGCAGACACACAGGTGTCAATAAAACAGACATTGAGTTTTGTCTGTGACAGAGGCATATCTATATCACAGTTAGAAATTCTGACAATGCTAAATAATGACGTGCTTTTAAGTATCGAAAGTGACTCGGTAAGAAGAACGTGTGGTGAAATAGTCAAATGAAATTATATACACAGTTAAATCGGTAATCTATTGTCATAACATATAAAAAGCTCGCGCCTGTGAAATAACAATACATTCGAAAAATAGCTCACATCAAAGCCTTCTCTGAGTACTCACCGACAGTGAAGGTTTTCCGTCTTGAAATGTCGAACAACTCACTGGTTGACACATAACTGAGTAGATCTAGATCCTTAACAAGGTTCTTTTATGTAACAAGTAGATTGTTTACTATTTGTTGTTTGTGTACACAACTAAGATTAGACTACTGCTGCTCACGACTTTATAATTCGGGCATCCCGCTTTAAGCTGCGCGAACCTATTCACTGCGCATGCACTATAAGCGCAGCGCAGAACAGCCGTTGAAACCACTTTTCACCCCAGGTGGGGTGAATTTAGTGAATCGTTTGAACATCCGATTTCGCGGCTTTTTTCATCGCGTTATTTTTCAACTTTATAAGTTGAATTATATTTTGATAACTTGTTACTGTAAGTCAATACCGAAAGGTATCAGAATCTGCAAAGTTCTGTTTTGCGTTGCATGTGACGTCGAGCTGCCATGGGTCCCTCGACCGTGAAGGACACGGGACTGGGCAGCTGTCTACCGGTAGCTCTTATCTGATTATTTAGCATTTTCATGTCTGGAGTAAATAGGTCCGTATGTAGGTCACGGCACTTCGCGAGACCGGTGACAAACAACGTACACTTAGTTCAGTCCAGTAAAGTCATATGTGGCGGTCGCGCAATTTGGAACCAGAACTGGTTCTTGAATATACGCTTGTTGTCGGAAAGCTGGTACCGGAATTAAGCTGGTGCCGTCTCGCATATCGCAAGTTGGCGCGCGCAAAGGGAGCCGGGAACCAGCATAGAACCGAAGTAGCGCCTCGCGAGACTTACATGCCCTTTACTCAACATTATAAAATAATTTCTGGCGTGGCAAATGTACTACACGTTATGTAATTCTGCGCATGGAAGTGCAACAAGAGGAATTATCAGCTGAGATAAAAAGAACCCAAAAAACATCAATTAACCGATAACACGCTGATTGATTAATTTTATTTTACACAGCGGATTTGTCGTGAGTGAGTGAGTTTAGTTTTACGCCGCATTCAGCGATATTCCAGTTATAGGGTGGCGGTCTGTAAACAATCTAGTCTGGACCAGACAATCCAGTGATAAACGTTATGAGCATCGATCTGCGCAAATGGGATACGATGTCAAGTGTCAACCGAGCCAGCGAGCCTGACCACCCGATCCCGTTAGTCGCCTCTTACGACAAGCATGGGTTACTGAAGATCACTTCTAACCCTGATCTTCACGGGTTTGCGCGGATTTGTCAAAAGGTAGTGTCATATAATGTTTATGTACGAACACTGAATACACCACATTCGTAAAGTGCCCGTGTAAAAACAACGTTCTTCCTTCAAAGGATAAAACGCCAATACGCGGATTGATTGTTCATTGTTGCCTAACTAAATTACTTTTTCAAAGAATGGAGGACATTCATTGACCAATGAAGCTATACACCAATGTGAAAAACCTGAAACAGCCACGTGACCAGTTGAGAAACTGCTATCAACGTATAACGTTATATACATTTTTTTTCATCGACTGTTAAATGAACATGATACGGAACAGGTTTCCTTGTCAGCTGCAGATGAATGGCATAGCGTTCCTTTATGTGGATATTGATGGATACATTCCTCGAACAAGGTAACAGCCTGATAATATGTTTATAACTTTATTCCGTATTAATTTCAAGGCAGCCACAAAGGTGACATTGAGTTTTGTCTGTGACAGAGGCATATCTATATTTCAGTTAGAAATTCTGACAATGCTAAATAATGACGTGGCTGATAAAGTATCAAACTGACAAAGCGACACGGTAAGAAGAACGTGTGGTGAAATAGTCAAATGAAATTATATAAACAGTTAAATCGGTTACATCTACTGTCATAACATATAAAAAGCTCGCTACTGGAAATATCAACAAAACATTAGAAAAATAGCTCACATCAAAGCCTACTCCGGGTACTCACCGCCAGCGAAGGTTTTCCGTCTTGAAATGTCGAACGCCTCACTCGTTGACACATAGATGAGTAGATCTAGATCCTTAACAAGGTTCTTTTATGTCACGAGTAGATTATTTACTACATTTGTATTTGTTGTTTGTGTACACAACCAACATTAGACTACGCCTGCTCACGACCTTATATTTCGGGCATCCCGCTTTAAGCTGCACGAA